CCGACGTCGCCTATAACTCGCCGCCATCGCCTATAACTCTCCGCCTCGCGCTGACTCGGATTTCTTTCAGCCGCCGACTCGATTTCCTTCACCCGCCGTCAAGCAGCCACTCATCATCGTCTTCATGGCCGATGCCTAACCATCTCCTCAGGATCCATCTCCGGCTTTGGGGACACTCGCATTCTAGTAGAGGTATAAACTAAATTGTGCTAAAAAAGTTATGCATATTAGTGTGCTAAAAAGTTAAAACCCTAATTAATTGAATTGTTGAAATAATCTGCAGGCTCCTCAAAAGGAGAATCCTAATGTAAATGCAAGATAAGTTGATTCTAATCAATCTACACAAGGCTCTCAGATTTTGACTAAAAGGAAAGCAATAAAAGGAAGATCGGAGGTATGAGATTATTTTACTAAGTTTAAAGATAAAAATGGTGACCCAAAAGCAAAATGCAACTATTATGAAAAAAACATCTTGATTAGTGTTTTTTTCAAAATCCTTGATGTTAGTACCTATATAAGTTGTGAATAAAGCAAAACAAAAGGTTGTACAATAAACATGAATAAATTTGTCTACAACATTTGAATGCATCTTGATTAGAATCGAACAAACCAAACCGAACCGACTTGCAATAGTTGGGTTCGGTTTTGAATAATGGGTGGTTCGATTCGGTTGTTCAAAATTTGATAAAAACCGAACCGATCGACCGTTTGCACAGCCCTAGACGTGAGACCCTATAAATCATCTCCTTTAGGGCCCGTTTGGATGGGGTATTTTGCCCCAAAAATTGGGAGGAAAGCTGTCAAAAAGCTGTCATTTTGACAGCTTTAAAGAGGCGATTTTGAGAGAAAGCTGTCATTTTGGCAGCTTTTCTCCCAATTTTCAGGGCAAAATACCCCATCAAAACGGGCCATTAGCTATTTTGAACTAAATATAAATTAAATACTGAGATAAAACTTTTCCAATACCTCCAATGTAAATTAATTAGAGGAACCGCACAACTTCCCAGATATACGAAAACCAACTCAAAGCAATAGCCCCAGAATTCATGAACAAAACTTCAACCTTTATTAATTACACATTACACAAATTAAAAAAAATCCAACCTGGCACTGGGTACTCGTCTCAGCCTCTCTGGCTCCAGCTCATCAGGCAATCCGAGAAACCCACTGAAGGGGTCAAACGTCACGTGCGACACGTGCCTCACCTCCGTCGGCCACCCGATCTCCATCGCCGAGCAGCCCCTCTCCTCCCCCGCCCCAACGCTACACATCACCAGCGACCTCCTCAGCGCTGCCACCAGCACCTCCACGACCGGGCCCCCCCCGCCGCCCCCCGCCGCCGCTCTCCTCCTCGGATTCTGGCAGAATCAAGGGAGACGATATCAGATCCGCGTACCCGAACCCGCTCTCTCGGCCTTCGTCCTCTTCAGAACTCGAATAGTAAGAAGGGGAGGAGAGAGGAGGACGAAGCCGGAAGCGCGCCATTAGATAAGGTTGGGGTTAGGATTTCGCAAAGGGAAACGGGGCGTACGCGATGTATGGCGCGGCAAAGGAAACCGATCGGAGATCGGAAGTAAATTGGCGATTGCTGTGGGCGTTTGAGCGAGGGCGAGGTTTTTTGGTGAAGATCTCTTTCCCTATAAAAAAAAGTTCGCATTTTGGTTTTAATTTTAAATTAGGAAAAGAAAAAGGAGTTCTTGGCGGGCTAAGCTCGCCATGGACTCGAGATCGCCTCGTGGCGCCGTGGACAAAATGACGAAAACAACCTTGTATATTTGCGTTATGTGGGTACCACGTGGTGTGTTGGAGAGACGTTTTACTATTTTGCCCTTGGATAAGGGAGACCCGAGTGCTACGGAGAGATCTGAGGATACTACTGGCTGTTCAGTAAAGAAATGGATTTGACGTGGGATTATTTAATTGTTTATCTGAGGGTAATTTATTAATTAACAACCAAATAGCTAATTTTTGCATTTGGTCCATGTTCTTTTTCTTATTGCGTGTTGGAAACTTACTAACTATTGCCATTACATCTTACCTTGAGAAATGCTGTTCTCTTTTCTCAAGCAGCTAAATTACCATATATTGTTATTAAAAGTAGACCATTTTGCGTATATGAATATTTTTTTACTCCGACGTCTTTTCGGTATTAAAAAGTATATGTTTTATGCAAAGGGCCGATAACTTCGCCAGCAACGAAAAATGTCGATCCCAACCTCATGTTATAGATAATATGGGTGGAAAATAAGGGTCGTTTGGTTGGAGCAAAACACAAGGCAAAGTGATTTCGGTGATTTATGTAAATCTATTTTTAGTCTTTGTTTTCGCTTTCACTATTTAGTTAGTGATGTGGTTGAAATTAGGTGTGACGTAATCCGGCCGATTGGTGGTGTTGATGACTAAGATCACATAGTCAGTTAAATCCAGAAAAAGATCGGTTTTGTTCTGTATTGAAGAGGAGTCACTTTCTTCCCTGACTTTATATCTAGTTCTTGAATTGGGGTTTTGAACAATCTGCATGTGTAGAAATTCGTGAGAGGGCAGGGATTGATTCCCACGTTGTATCTGCAACGATCAAATTAGTTGATAAGCTTGATGAAAAAAATAAGAACTATTTGTTCTTATAATTATACAGTATGTATGTCAGAAGGTCCGATTTTTGAATCCTCTCTAAGTTCGAATAGTACCTATTTTATACCCGGAGTATAAGGGGTTGATTGGTTACTTCGGCCGGGCACAATGGGGCGGTGGCGAAGTGTGGGCTAGCAGCTGAGCCAGCCTTTGCTTTACAGGTGTCGGCTGGCGACTGGAGGGTAGATCACTTCGGCATTAAATGGGAAGTGATCGGCGGCATGGCAGAGCCGACGTGGTCCGATGAGTCATGAAGACTATCGGGGCTAGAGGCATGATGCTTCTGACACGCATTAAATGCGATGTGGACATGTTGCCAGCGTGGATAGCATCGCTGAGAAGTAATGCCTTTCGAGTCGGTCTCTTGAGGCGTTGGACGAATGGTCGAGTGAACCATTGGCGAGTCGTTCTTGACAAGAGGGTCGACTGACTCCGCCTTTCATGTCGTCATGAGGGAATGTCGACTCGACGAGTTGGCTAAGTCGGACTCTCTGTGAGACTTGGCCCTCCCAGCTGATTGGGGCAAGGCTTATAGAAAACACATTTGTTCGCTTGCCAATACACTGTATTTCAGCGATTCTCCACCTCGGTGAATTTTTCTCAAAACTGAGCCGACACCAAAGCATCCAAAAGTCCCACTTGTTGTGTCCAGTACGAACTCAATCCACAACAAGTCGAGAACCCGAACGAGAGTCCAAACAATCTCACCCCCATCAACAAATCCAAACCGGCTGCATCTGAAAGTTGCTGAACGCGTGAGTGGGGGCCCACAGCTTTGTTATTTGTGAACATGAAGTTGCTGAACGCGGTTTTGATTCCGCGGCCCACCCGAGACCCCACAGCTTTGTTATTTGTGAACATGAAGTTGCTGAACGCGGTTTTGATTCCGCGGCCCACCCGAGACAAATTTGTGCAGCTATATATATCAAATTTTTGATAAGGGTTTGTGCGCAGGAGGTTGATTCGTGGCTGCTGACGAAAAATTCTTCTCTCTTTTGCGGCTGCAGGTGAAGAAAACAGAGGAGAAAAACAGCAGCTGTGTTGAGATCTTGAGTAGTCCCTTTTAGGGTTTTGTGCATCCCTTTGAGAGATATTTGTGTGAGGGTTTGAGAGATTGTGTGAGGGTTTAAATTGAGTGTTTGTAAACCCTAGTTGTATTCTCTCCCTCTAATAGTAGATCTCCTCCTCCTTGCCCCGTGGACGTAGGCAATTTGCCGAACCACGTAAAAAATTAGCTGTACTGCTTTTGTGTGATTTGTAATAGCTTTTTAGGTTCCCTCGACGCGCAGTCCTAGAGCTGATGAGAGGAAGAGCGCCGATATCTCACTTGGTTGAGATATCCGCTTCAGATTCTTGTCTCCTTGGTGAGATGGGAATTCTTATTGCGATCTGACTCTCTTGTTGTGCTGCTGAAGTGCTGCCGAAATTTTCCCTGTGCGCAACAAGTGGTATCAGAGACAGATTTCAGATCTAGGGTGTTTTGGTGGAGGAAGATTCAGTTGGAAGCTTGGTTCTTGGAGTTCTAGGCTTCGGTGGAGATAGCATTAGGAGTTGCCGTTGGAGATTTCGCTTTCTTCGTGTGGATAGGAGATCTATTTGGAATCCGATCTATGGTTCAGTTGGGTGGTTCCTAATTTCTATCAAATTTGTTCTTTCTCTACAATTTGGAGTTAGTTCGCAATGGGAAAAGAAGGTGAAAACAGCAAATCGATGGCGAGTACAATACAAGTTAGTTTTCAGAACACTAAGATTAGTGTTGTTAAGTATGATGGAAAAATCAACTTTGGCTTGTGGATGAGCGACGTACAGGATGCGCTCAATGCTCAGAATTTGGAAGAGACCATCATGGTCCATGAGAGGCCACCTAAATATAATAAGGCGATATGGGAGAAAATGAATAGGAACGCGTGTGGGGTGATCAGGTCCTATTTGGAACAGGAACTGAAATATGATGTGATTGGGGTGACGTCTGCAATGTACTTCAGGAGAGGCCTTGTCGACAAGAGGTAGAAGCCCATATCCGAAAGGTGGTAACAGAGGGAGGTCAAAGTCTAGAGGCCGCCACCAATTAACAAAGAACCAATGTGCATTCTGCAAGGAGCAGGGACATTGGAAGAGAGACTGCCCGAAGCTCAAGGAGAAAGAGAATGGCAAGAAAAAGGGCCCGAAGGCCAATGAGGTGAACATTGCGAAAGGCGATGATTCCGATGATTCGTGCTTTTCTCTACTGATTACTCCGGAGGTGAACCATGTGGATGCATCAGATTGGATGCTTGATTCCGGCGCTACTTTTCATGTGACCCCTAGGCGAGACTGGTTTGCATCTTTTGAGAAAGTCGACGGGGGCGTTGTTGTTATGGGAAATGATCAATCCTGTGGCGTTTGTGGGATAAGTACCATACAGATTAGGATGCACGATGGAGTAGTCCGTGAGTTGAAGGAGGTGAAATTTGTTCCTCAACTGAAGAAAAATCTTATCTCAGTTGGAACTTTGGAGGCAAAGGGATTCAAGGTGACTTTCGAAAACGCTGTAGCGAAGGTTACTAAGGGATCATTGGTGGTGATGAAGGGAGTCCGCAATTGGAATTTGTATTATCTGAAGGGAAGCACCGAGATTGTCCAGGTTGCTTCGGTTATTTCAGAAGCGGACATGAGCAGACTTTGGCACTATAGGTTGGGGCACACAGGTGAAAAGTCACTGCAGGCATTGTGCAAGCAGGGGCTATTGAAGGGAGCCAAGAGTGGGAAGATTGAGTTCTGTGAGCACTGTGTTCTTGGCAAAAAGACGAAGGTGAAGTTCGGGACTGCCATTCATCAGACGAGAGGCATCCTGGATTACGTGCACACAGACGTTTGGGGTCCCACCAAGACTGCATCACTTGGTGGTCGACATTGGTTCTTCACTTTTGTAGATGACTATTCTAGGCGTTGTTGGGTGTACACCATGACGAAGAAGAGTGAAGTCCTAGATTTGTTTGTGGAGTGGAAGAAGAGATTAGAACTGCAGACTGGGAGAAAGATCAAGACGTTGCGATTCGACAATGCTGGTGAGTATACTTCTGACCCCTTTCAGCAGCTATGTCGAGACGAGGGCATAGAGATGCACTTCACGGTTAGTCATACACCGCAGCAAAATGGGGTGGCAGAGAGATTGAATCGGTCTTTACTGGAGAAGATCCGATGCTTATTGTCGCAGAGTGGTTTGGAGAAGATCTTTTGGGCTGAGGCACTTACATATGCGAGCCACCTCATTAATAGGCTGCCTTCATCTGTGATTGAGGGGAAGACCCCTATGGAGAAGATGGAGATGTGGTCGGGAGAGACAGCACATGACTATGACCAGCTTAAGGTATTTGGTTGCCCTGCATATTATCATGTTAGAACTGATAAGTTGGAACCTCGAGCTAGGAAGGCCATATTTGTAGGATTCAAGCGTGGTGTCAAGGGATACAAGCTTTGGGATCCAGTTGATAAGAAGATTGTGCTGAGTAGGGACGTCACATTCGATGAGGCTTCTATCTTGAAGCTTCCCAGCTCTCATCAGGTGGAGAGCGACCCGACAGAGGAGATATCGCAGGTGGTGGAGATCGATGTAGCTCCACATTGTCCAGATGATACAGTATCCATGCAGGTGCCGACTGAGGTGACGCCAGGCGAGCATGACGATGACACGGAGGATACGAGTACAAATGTGCAGTATCAGGAACCGACGGCTCAGGTTCAGAATTCTATTGCGGCTAGGAGACAGAGGAGAAACATACAGATACCAGCACGGTATGCCGACACAGTTGCGTATGCACTTCCGGTGGAGAGTATCGATGAGTTGGTGCCTACTACATTCAGAGAGGCCGAACAGAATTCGGAGGCTGATTCGTGGCAGGTGGCTATG